CGCAATCTCAGAGATGAACCCGCACGATGACTTGATGAAGTTTTTACACGAGGCGATGATCATCTTCAATGAGAATCCAGGTTTCCAGAAGGAGATTTCGTTCTTCGGGGGGGATCAGGTTGTCATCAACAATGACGGAGAACTTCTTCAAAACGAGGAGAGGACCCAGCATCCATGTGGAAAAGCAGGTAATCGGCAACGCCAAGTACTACCAGGGATCCTATGACCTTGGCAACGTATGCTACACCAAATACCTCAAGACCATACTGGAACCCGATGTATTCCGCACTATATTCGGAGATGATCCCACAGAGGAACGGGTAGGTGACATGGTGGAGGCGTTGCTGGGCATGTTCGAAATTGCTCAACTCTTCAGACACCTGTTCAGAGGATGGGGTGACATCGAAGCTTTGAGGACGGGATTAGAGGAATCCATCAAACGCGTCACTGCATCGCTGTACGACAGGACAACGTATGAGAACCGAAAGCGATCGATGATTAGAACCATGGACCCGCACTCTGATGAGGCGGCAAACGTGGCGCTGATTCTCGTGCGCATGAGGACCATGCCGCCTCCTGAATTCGACATCGACCACTTCTTCGAAATCGGGAAAGAACCAGAACAGGGAACCACTGACCAGCCCGAGGCCGAAGGTGTCGATATGGAGACGGAATGTGGACAGGAGAAGGAGGAGCAAGATGTTGACATGTCCGACCCGAAGACATCAATACTGCAAGCCATCGACGAATTTGAGAGGAAGATCGGGCAGGCAGAATTCTGCATCCACTGCATGGAGTCGGGACATACAACTCTCAGTTGCAAGAAGACCCTTTCATCTTCGCCTTCAGTCACCTCGGTATTGAGTGATTGGAAGAAGAGAGTGAAGGGAGAGGTTGCGCCCGACGATGTACCATCTGGACATCCAACCGAGGAACCTAAGAAGAAGAAGCAGAGAGCATCGCCTACACCGGAAAGGAAGGTCGACAGCGAGTTCAAGCGTAAAGAAATGTTAAAAGCAAGAGTCGTGACAATGTTCGACCATGACGGATTCACCTTGATCGAAAGTGCTGATGGAGTCGAAGGAGGACCACATTCCTACAATGGGCGGAAGCTTGCGGAAGCAGGCCCTAGGGATATGAAAGTAGTGTACGAATTTGTAGAGAAGGCATTTGTGCACTCCAGTTCCCTCACGCCAAAGGCATGTCATCACTTCTATCCCCTACCAACACGGAGGGAGAAGGGATACAAGCCGATCGACCCCATGACGATGGTCGGGAAAGTTGAACTAGTACCGATCAACGGAGTCACTTTCGCTGCAAAGAACTCCGACTACGGCAATCACAAGTATCCGACTCCAGACTGTCGAGTACCTGAATACAGCCAAGCGAGCCAGGCCCTGAGTCGTCGATTGGGAGCGAAGTTGAGACATCGAATTGGACGCCAGTTCAAAACAGGAGGAAGACTCGCACCAATCAAATGCGATGAAGGCGCATGGGTGTCATGGGAAGACCTGTTAGGTGATAATGCAGTTTGGGAAGACGGTTATCACTATGGCAACATAGATATCGTGACCAAGAAGGCGCGTTTGGAGAAGTACTTCGACCAGAACTATGAGTGTTTCCGCATAACCAAGAGGATCAGATTCCAAATGTTGGCAGTCCGCGTTCACCCTGATGAACTCAATGAGCCTGATGACCCGATGGAGAAGGAATGGATTGACGAACTCAAGGACATGGGAATCTCTAAAGGAAGACTCCACCATAGCGATGGATGGTGCTTTCCCGTGGCCGTAAGAGCAACCTCGGCACACTCAACGGACGGCGGAGGTTATGACGTTACCATTAACATCGACCACATTGGATCGAGAATGACCAACGACATGGCCCTATCTATGGTGACTGCATTTCACGCTACCAATCTCGGAGCGCTGACTTCAATCATGCGACGAGGGCTAGTGCCAGGAGGTCTCGGTTCATCGGGAAGGGATTCTATCCACTTCACATGTTTTCCGCCATGGGCCTGGGAGCAGGGCTACAAGGGAAAACCTTGGCTGGGTCGTAAGGTCGCATTGAGTGATCGCCCGGTGGTTCTCTACATTCCGGTGTGGAAGCTGCAGGAGTACGGACTTCTCATCTCAGCGACTGGCTCTCTATTGGTTGAGAACGTCGTTCCCTTCGATGAGGTTAAAGGGGCATGGTTGCAATGCGACAATGCGGAACCCGGACAGCCTGAGGAGATCGAATGGATCCGGTTACTCAATGGAGAACCCGACCCTGGAAGCTACCTTGTTCTGGAGTCCAAATACGGAAACCCGATCATGATTCCACGCTTTCAAAAGCTTGAGAGTTTAGCGGTTGAGGTTCAGGACGATACCTACTCCGAGGACGACGCCAAAATCTCAAAGCTGTTGGGTATGATCGAGGAGAGTGGTGTCTACCCAGAATATGATAGCACCGAGTGGCAGGAAATCTTTGAGGAGATCGTGTACCGCCGAGCAATGAAAGACTATGACTCAAGACCGTGTCCTAACTGTCTTGGCGAAGTCGATGTGCGATTGACGATATGTCCGCACTGCGTAGCGGTTTTGATCGCGAATGGGAAGCTCACGCATGTGGTACCCAAGGAGACAAGGGACCGCAATCAACGGTCACCTCCGAAAGATGTCCCAGCCAGTTCTTCCGGTGAAACAACTTCTGCTGCAGGTGCAAACATCGATGAAGTCATCAAGAACGCACGCAAGACAGCCGAAGAGGTCATTGAGATCGAGGAATCCGAAGGAGAGGAAGAGGAGGAAGTTCCTATCATTTTGAAGGAACGACCGGACGAAGCTGAAGGCGAACCCGAATATCGGGAGGTCCCTCAAGATGGATATGGGAATGAACTTCCGCAGCCTTTCCCCTTCGCAATTGACGAATTGCCGCAAGAAGCTGCGATCCCCATCGACCACAACTTTGCCGTCACACAGCAATTTGATCTGAGGTTGATGAAGTTGATCAAGAGCTTGGCCAACGCAACGTTCGACATCAACTGCTTTGAAAGTCGTGAAGATGTACTGCGAATGTTCGACGATGGACAGCGGCATGACACTCCGCACAATAGATGGCCGATAGTACCGAATGATCCGGATACTGGGTTTCCAAGACGTCTCCAGAGAGCCGAGGTCGTAGGCATGAGCAGATGGACCGACGACGTGTATGCAGCAGAAGCGTGGCAGATCTATGAATTCCACGCCCACGTTGTTCGCCCGATGATGATCACTGCAATCCGCTGCGGGCTTAGCCACAAGTACCTCAAAGAGGTCGGCAGCACTCGGCGTAACATGAGTGATCCAAAGGCTCGAAAGTCTGAGACCCAGGATGAGATCATCGAGAAACTGGCATTCATCTCAAATTTCATCAGACGCTTGATCAGGAAGACCTTCGGAGCGAGCCGGTATAGTTACTACCAGAAACCAGATGACGAAAGTGCCGCTCCATACAAGTTCATCGACATTAGCCCCGCCATCAAATCGGAGAGGAAGAATGTCACGTAGGAGATCCTCGTTGCATGCCGCTATTATGGCATAGAGGTATCCGCTATTCAAGCACAGAAATTGAAGTCCTTCGAGGAGCAGATCCGAGCGGGAAACCCAAGGAACGTTGAGCTCATCAAGGACTACATTGGCTTTGTCGGCGCTGACTACATGCGACAACTCACAAATGGTTGAGCATTGGGGTCATACCGACATGCCACTTCCGGTACTTCAAGTACTGAGGGATCTTGGGTAATTCATGATGACCGTTTTGGCATCATGGGAGTGAGAGAGGATTGTGTTTCACACCGTTGGCAATCGCATGATACCATAGGTAGGTGCACGTTTTCCGCTTGTAGCTCCATTACCTGTTTGATCCAACTTTCAAGCGAATGCAAAATCTTTTGCTAATTCAATTCAATAGGACATACTGGTTGACCTCCAATACACTTTTGAGAACACGATTCGTTCTCCGGTTTTTACATCCACTCATCTCCCTTCCCCGTCGAAGTACGGATGTGGGGGGGTGTCAATAGGGATGAGGTCCCAGTATAGTCGCTATACAGGTACATGCCACATACTTTTGGCTCAAGTGCCCAACCAGGTAAAAAGGAGCTTTAGCGCGCGAGCTTCATGTTGAACTAAGGGCTAGAACGGGGCCAGGGCACACCTTTCCATCCGTTCGCAGTGATTGTTGCTTTTCATGATTCAGACTTCAAACACAGGAATCCGGAAGCGACTTGGTCCCTTGATCTGTATACATTCACGCGTGATTTTTCTGTCCAGGCCCAGGGTTTGAGTCATCCATCGACTGGTCTTGGGACCTCCCAGCCTTCGTATAGCAAGAAGCATCGTGCAGAAGCTGCGCGTGGGTGGATGCACTGTGCATGAAAAAAACCCAAGAGAGGGGACTGATGTTTTGTCACCATGAACATCAGGAGAACGGTATGTACGTAGTTGGGAGGATCTTAGGATCCGAAATATACGGAAGTGGACAATGGCCGATTCCAAGGAGATCCAAGGAGTGTAATCATTTTTTTTTTACCATGTACCTTTTCAGAAGGTATGACTGGACTCTAAACCAACCCCAAACACCTTCCCACAAGGTACTTGGAGCCCTAGGGCCCTAGGGATATAATTCATAAGCCTCTCTGAGAAGGCAGGTTCGTGATGCTTCGTGCAGATCTGCGGGCTTGGTCCAAATCATGGACTCGTTGAGGTCGTGAGCTCGCTCAGTGAGCTCAATGAGGTTTCGCCCAATTCTCATTTCTCCGTGCGGGAAATTGGACACCCATCGGTGTTCTTCTTCTTATTATTGACCCATCGGTGTTCTTCTTCTTCTTCTTCTTCTTCTCTTGTTTTTCTTCTTGTTCTTCTTCTTCTTGTTTGAACCGTGCTTCACGCCCCTGGGTGGACCCGGTCTCCGGTGTCTCCGGTCAGCGACCTGGTCGACCCGACGCCGTTGTCAGCTGACGCCGCGGCGGTCAGGTGGCCTGTGAGTTTGCAGACTTGCACGACCGTGCTGGGCGTATGAAGGCAGTCGGTGTGGTGAGGGAAGAACTCCAGTGGAGCAGGAGTAGGGAGCCTTGGAGCAGATTCTGTTTTTTTCAGCTTTCGGGCAGATGGAATAGGATTCTGGCAGACTGGAGGGCGCCCAACGGGCTGTTTTGCCATGGATTGGGTGGAGGAGTGATCGGTGGATTTTTTGAAGCAGGAAGCGCGGATGTCTCCAGTTCCCTTTTCTTTAGAATCCAAGATGAGAATCATGAATGAAAGACTGGATCACTGGAGAACTGACTGGCTTTGCTGTAAAGCAACAACTTGTTGGTGCAGGATGTTTCTCTATAATTAATTGTGATCTATCAAAGTTTCAACACTGTATTATGTTAACCATATATGTAAGGATATACAATGACAATGATTCGATGAACATCATTAAGGAGTCAGAACCTCCGCAGAAAGACCTCCGTGGAGTTCAACCTCCCACCCCAAACAACTACTTGGAACCATCACCTGACTGGGCTCTCCGGCGGAATTGCTTTCGAAACCGGCGGTGTTGCTGGAAAGATGCGCCGATGCGCCGGCTGATGGTACGTAGAGGATTGCTGGTGTGGTGCAACCAGCAGCTATCGATGTTCACCCAAACTCGTGGCCATTTGGTGGAACCGCTTGCCAGCCTAGCCTCCGCTTGCCGCGTGTTTTGCCGGTGGGGCTTTTCGATCCTGGCCGGACCCTCGGGGTACCGGTCCTGCACGTGCTGACTCCTTCCGGTTCGGTTCCGTGGACACCACGTGGGAACGAAGCGGAAGACGAGAGGACGGGGGTGAAGATCCGTGCCGAGTGCCTATAAGAGAACGAAAGGATTCAGAACGACCCAAGCCTTTGGAACGACACTGACCCTGTGGAAACCACAAATAGATATAGATACAAATATAGGCGGTTCAGTGTCGTCAGTCCAGATAGTCAACCGAGGCAGGAGATTGTTTGAGGGGATAGATGCGGATACGGAATGCATTTGTACACTATCAGGGGCCTTTTTAACCATGAAATGACTTCTGAAATCTTCTGAAGTGCCATGGGTCATGCGATATCCCAGGAGTTCTTCTACTGGCGCCTGCGTCGTGACTGGGCTTCCAGAGAAGATGGCCTCAGCCATCTGAACAGCCGGGATGGCCTGAACAAGCAGTGCTAGGTGTTATGACGTGAAGATGAAGTTAAGTGTACACAGACAAGCCTCGACTTGGATGTAGTGCAGAGGCTTGCAACGACTGGAACAGCCTTGTTGGGCGCCCCTGTCGCCTGTTCGCCGGAGTCGAATCAAGAGAAGCTGACATAGTATACAGGTTCGACTTAGGCGGTGTACAATGCAAACACCCATACCATCCAGTGTGCCTCAAGTCGGTAGCCTGTGGCGTGTAGCCAGTACCAACACCAAATCCTCCCAAGCCAAGCCAAGCCTGGCAACTCTTCTAGTCCCAACGGAGGGGATTCCAGCTGTGAGCGCTCAGGTTGCCTCCTGGAGACCCGCCTGGCCCAAGACCTGCTAGTCGCTGATCCCAGGATGACACGTACGGATGCCAGAGGAACAGCTCCTTGGTGCACCGGACCGACCCGCGCAGGGCGACCCCGCGCCGCCTCGGCCCGGCCGGACGCCGGGACCGCGTAGGGAGCGTCCGGGACGGAGCGTCCGTAGCTTCGACCGGTCGCGATGGCCTCCACCGGTCGTAACGTCCTTGCTCCGGTCGAAGGCGATGCCAGCCCTGTTGTCTCGACGCGGTCCGACGGTGACGTCAGCCGGTCACGAGTCACCACAGAGACTCGTCGTTTGGCTTCACAGCGTGGCACTGGGTTCAGGTGATGGCATTGACGCTTCAATCATTGTATGTCAACCAATGAGATTGGCGCTTTGATTCCACTGACCTGGTTCCAAACCAAATATTGCACTTGAGGAGTGCTCCCACTTTCAGAGTGGACGTATCCCATGCATGTCGCAGCCTCCCAACATTTGTTGGACCTTTCATGTCTAGACATGGGGCAGCAGAAGGCACTACCTTGGCTGCTTCTGCCAAATTGTGGCCACATGGACCGTGCGCCTTTTTCAAACAAAGTCCTTAATTTCTACTAATGTCTTCACAAAGGCCCCCAATGTGTTTAGGTGTGCCATACATAGGGTGTTTGGGCGTATGACGATGCCTCCTTCTTGCCCTGCTGATTTGATGTCCACCAAGTGTACCCCGGCTCGCCACCCAGGTCAGGGGTTGGTTGAAAGAAGACGCTGGAGGCAGCGTCCTGAGTGATGCTCGTGCTTTGGCTGAAAATGGAGAGTTTGGCAAGACAGGTCGGTATATACCTGTACCAGGACCCTCCGACAGGTCACCAATTGAGACCTGTTAGGGTCCAACAACCCTCAACTAACAGCCTGTTGGAGGGTGCTGGTAAATGATTGTGTTTTTGGATTCAATTTGGGAATGCGTTTAGATGCACTTTTGTATAAGACGGGTTCATGCAAACCAAAAGCCGTGTTCTGCAGTTGGATCATGAGGAGGAAAAGATAAACACCAATGGTTTTGCTGTCGGGAATCATGATCAAGGGGGTTCTTGACCACGCTCTCTTCAGACTTGCGTGGGTGCACCCACCCACCGAGCAAAAGACCGGGACACGAGCGCATGATAAACTGACGGCAGTGACAGCGCGCATGATGAAATCAACAACTATTTGTTTTGTGCGCATGACAAATGACAGCAGCAAAAGTGGCATAATGACAAACACAACTTCTTGAACATCGATTTATTCGGATGGGGCGTGTTAGGGCGGCCTCGCAATGTTTGCCATGGAAACATGGGCAATGTTTGGGATCGTCATCGTAGTGTTTGTTTTGGCGCCGCTCCATTGGCGGCGGCTGGCGGCGAATGATTTGGCGGACTTGCAACAATGGTTTCGCGAGCGGAGGGAATCAGCTGATGATTCTCTGGTTTGCCCGAAAAACAACAGGGTCGAGGAGAGGTTGAGAACCTGGTTCATGCAGAAAACACCATCAGCTGCCAAAGATCACAGGAAGGTTCCTCCCTGGTCCCTAGGGATCCAAGCATATCCTCAGGTTCGGTGGTTAGACCTCTCGAACCCACCCCAACCACCTAACTTCAGGAGGTAGGCCAGGAGCCCCAAAAAGGGCCTGATCCTTTCCAGTGTTGTGGAGTGTTTTGGAGTGGACCATGATTGTCATCCCATCCAACCAGCGCAGGTTTTGACCTCTGAACTTCTCTGAACGCTTTCTCCTGCCACAGGAAGAGATGGCTCAGCTTCGCAAGAAACACTTCAAGTTATTCAGCCGGTGCTTTCTTCATGTGTGTTTCCCACTCTGGTTTCTCCTGCTTTACCAAGCCTGGACAACCCCTGGTATTGACTCCTTGACCTGGGCTATTTGTGGTTTGGTGTGCTACGCGTTCTTCACAGTGATCACACCGCATCATTTGGAACTCACCCCGCAGTCTGGACGCACTCAGCGGGTTCGGGTCAAGTAGTGGAAGCCGGAAGCATCAAGCGTTTGTGTTCATTGGTCGGATCCGGAGACAGCACGTAAGGTGAAGCCCTCCAAGCCTACATAAATAGTCTCCAATTACCTTCTCAGAAGGTATGTGGATCGGGTCTCTTGAAGCTTCGCATTGTTTTGTGTTTGTTTTGCTCCGTAGATGTTGGTTTAGTTTCTCTACTTGAGGCCCTCTAGAGAGGTCCAAGGTCTACTTGGCCCACACACTTGGCTTTCACGAGGTCAATTGGTGAGGGTGCAAAATTCGATCTCTTGGCAGGTTCCCATCCCTTGACATCTTGTCGCCCCATCCGAGATCGGGTCAATCCGTGGCCTCACGGAGATCGGTGGAGATGCGCGCGGTATCCGGATCATGAAACGCATATATAAGGACCTGTATACCAGCCCTGTAGACGCGTAGTTGACTCAATCCTCAACTTAAGAGTCCTGTTTCGGATCTCCCAGCTTGCAAGCAACTCCATCTGCCGGACAGTGCATCGTCTCAGGCGGCAACTCAAGTTCATCGCCCTTTTTTCGCACATGAGCACACTCATGTGCATCGTCTCTACGGCTTGGTCAGACCCTTGGGTTCGATTCACGAAGCAAGGTATTCACTCAGCGACGCGCTTTTGCCTGGTGCTGGTACATTTGGATCCTAAGATGACCATCCCTTTCCAAGTGCTTTACACCGTTGTTGAGGTCTTTCTACATGTTTGTGTGACGGAGGAGGACGATTTCTGGAGGCAAGTGGTAGCCTTCACATTTGTGCAAATCTTCATTTTGGTGATAACCATTGCTTCCTCTATGTTCATCGATATGGGCCTTCGCGGGCGCATCTATGCACAGCTGGACACAGCAGATGCCGAGTCCTTGCTTTCGAGCTTCCGGCGGGTCTTGAGAGGTGGGAATAGTCTTGAGAGCTGGGACGAAAGCAGAAACATTTGACAGAGCCATGTCGGGAGCACTCGAAGTCTACAGTTCTACCCTGGTGATAGTCATGTTGCTTGTGGTGGGGTGGTCCTGAGGCTTAAACCATGTTAGCTTAGTAGAGTGGTGCCGACTGTCATTTTATAATGTGTCTATGTCAGGGGGTAAGATGCTCAGTTTCAGTGCAGTCATGAGTAATCCGTTCCCGCCTACACATGTTTCCAGTGTTTTCCCCTCATTCTTTCATCCAGGTGTTTGTGATGGCGATGTGCTCTTGGACAGCCAGATGAATGTGGACCAGGAAAGCCAATGCTTGAGACATCTCATACTCACGGATGTGAGTCTCAAAGGCAAGTCCTTCGAACACCTGCTGGTTGATGACGAGCAGCTGACTCGCTTTCGTAAGTTTATTGAGGCCTCAAATGATGCTGGGCTGCGTCCCGCAGAATATGTGGGTTTGCCTTGGTTTGTGATTGATCGTGACCCCGGCTTTGTGGTTAAGGCTCACTTGTAGCTGCATGACCACACGTTTCTTTTGTGTTTACCTGTACCTGGTTATTCCAAGTGACCTTTTGATCCCTGGTTTGAGGCACTTAGGCCTGTGAATGGTCACTTTGAAGAATCTGGTACCCCATGGTTTACATTTGTTTACATAACACCCATTTTGGGAAGGAATGCATGGTGTGCAGCTTCTTCACATCCAAGAAGAGTTATCTTCGGGGTCCGAAGATAAGGCATAAAAAAAAGATATGCAAAGCCCATCAGCCACGATCAGCCTGATTGGTCCATTGATTCAAGACATTGCTTTGTTGAAGTCTGTGATCACGCATCAAAGGATATCTATCAGGCACCAGACACTGAAGACAGTGCTCCTCCGCTGTGCTTGCGGGTGTCTTTTCGTGACTCTGCAGGCATACGGGTTGCCGCGGATATTTACCATGTGCCTGTTCCAGGCGTTGGGGTGTCAAAGAAAGTGAACACACGCAGGATTGTAGTATTGCAGTATAGTACGAAACAATAGCAGAAACAGTAGATTCAATACCTTTTTTTTAACGGGATATCAATTAATTGGTTGGAGATCAATTTGTTTGGTTTCGAGTCGAGTCATGAAATGTAGGTCGACATTCTGTTCGGTTCAAATCGGGACCGCTGTTGGCTGTTGTCTCCTTGGAATCTCAGACTCACCGCTGCACAGTGCAGATCTTGCCCTGGAAATAGGTCTTTTTGGCGCCCAGGATCCTTACCATCTCATTGCATTCAAAGAAGATCCTGAGTCGCGGCCGCAACCAGAAGCCGCGGACGATGCAGTGCCTTCAGTGCTTTTGCCTCAGTGCCATGTTGAGCCACGATCCTTGCATGCGGAGTCCAGGTCGATGCTTTCTGGAAGCACTGGAAGGAGTTCTCAGCTTCGTTTCTGTGACGAGTTGAGGGAAATGGCCTTGCTCGTGGATGTTGACTCGGAGCTGCAGGATGTCACTGAGGTACATGTGAGGTTTCAGCGTGGTGAGCAGCCGTCCAGCGACCTCCCTTCCGCCTTGCGATCAACCATGCCCTGCTTGCGCAAGCTGGTGAAACCCTCCGAATGGGAGAAGGTGCGGTCAAAAGCCAGGAGGTTTACAGAGACTCGCCAAGACATCTATAGCACTTGTTGTCACGTTAGACATCTCTTTTGGGGGGCCCTGGTAGAGAGCTTTCGAACCACCGTGAAAAAAGAAGCATGGTCAATTCACGTGTTAAGACGGAGTCCAACAAGTCGTCCATTCCATTACATTTGTGATTATCATTGTTTATCCCGCGTCTCACTCTATAATCACTTCCAGTCTCGTTCACGTGAGGAAAGGAGTTTCCTGGACCCAACCCTTCAGTCGCGAGTGCTGAAACAAATGACTTTGCAACTGCCTGGGCATTCTGGTTGGCTGGTTGCAGAGGCCACCTTCACGCGATTCCTCAATGAGGGTTCCCTTCCGGGACGGAAAGTTTGGCTACATCTGGAAGGCTTCCGCCCAGAGAAGTTTCAGCCGAAACCTCTCTTGACTGAGACTTGCATCCAAGACACGGGCCTGCGTTCTCGTGCGCGACCGGCAACCAGCCAGATCAGCCAAGCTTGATCGGCTGGGCCTAATTACGGTCGAGAGTCTCACCCCGCTTCTGGTGTTATACTCACACCACATCTCACGGGAGGGTCCACCTACCAGGCATCGTGCTTTCAGCGTGTGGTGCTCCATGTCTCATGCGATCTCGTGTGGTGCGCCAGACGCGCTGCGACGCACAGGCAGACTTAATCGGCACAGAGGACTGTTTCTATCACAAGCTGGATGATGCTGGAGAGAGATCTCACAGGAGGCCACTGAGAGTCTGGTTGAGTCCCAATAGTTGAGTCTGAGTCCCAGGCCATGCAGGGCAGCACTGGCATGCAATGGCCAGCCATGCACTCCCAAACCTAGTCAAAACCCTGCCATCCATGCGGGGAGTTGCAGCATGCAGCGTGAAAAGCGAGTCTTGAAAAGAGCAGAGAACTCTCAGAGAATTTGGGGATAGAAACGATCGTTTCCCGGGTTGGCTGGCTCTCCTCATCAGGAGGATCTTCTTAGATCTTTTCCGATTCAAAAGATATTCAACGTTTTCCCCAGTGAAATCGCAGGACTAACCCAAAGGGACCGTCGACCTCTTTTGATTGGGAGATCCGATCTGAGAAAGCACATGTCGACAACTTGTGAGAGCTGTTCATGTCAGTTCCGTTCACCTCTAAGGAGCTGTGGAGCTTTTGCAGCAGATATCGATGCAAGAAAAGGTGGGAGTGGCAGAGTGGTTCGAACAAGAGGCAGTTGGACTCGACTGGGGACGTTGAAGTTCAGTGCAGAGAAATCTGTTGGACGTGACGTGCGGAGAAAGGTGAAATACACCTTTTTAAAGGCCCCCGTAGCTACGGGGGTTGTCTTTGGCAGCTTGTTAAAGCAACAACGAGCCAAGCAGTGCGGTAGTAGATTCCTCGCGGACTTGTTTGAAGATGGTTCATTGTCATGCTCTTGTTAGGCTCCAATGACAAGTGTTTCAAAGACTGCGTTCCACAGAATTCCAACACTGGGTTGTTTTCAGCTCACACGTGAGGTCCGAGCGGTGCATGCCAGAGCCTTGAAGAGGCAATTCCATGAGGTGTGCGATGCTTGGCCTGGATTTTCTAGTCTAAGGCTGAGACTGGTCTGTAACATTCTGTGACGACTAGACAACAAATACCATATATAATCATTACCATCCATGAGTCACCAACTGGTGCTTTTTAGTCCCATCCAGTCAGTGGATGTTCCGGGCACCCCGACCTCCTCCGTTTCGTTCGGCGCCCAACTCCATGGAGCTGCTGGATGATGACCGTTGGTTTTTCAGGGGATCCTTATGGCTGGAAGACTTCGTCGGTGACATGGACACATCGAAGACTCGGCGCTGGGTCGAATAGGACGTGAGGTGTGGATTCAACTGGTGTCCGACTGCGTCCCATCGGTCCGTGCGTCCCAGTAAACCGTCCCAGTCTGTCAAAGATGATCACTCTTTTTGAGAAGGCCTGCAAGCTAACCATAGTGCTAACCATCACTGGGCCCTCGTAATGGGATATACCAGCACCAAAGCACCCTGCAGCCAACTGGTCTCCTTTGTAGGCTTTTGAAGACTTGAGAGTGGCAGGAGGTGACCTGTTGGAGGGTGCTGGTATACATGAAATCCAGCATTACAAATGAACTTTTGCGAGTTGGCCATGGTATTTTCCTCGAGTCGCTATATATAATAAGCACTCCAAATCATCCACTCAAAAGCATCTGTTCGCGTTGTTCGCGTTGTCCACGAGTCATTTGTTCGCTTCTTTCGTCCACGTCTCGTTGCCGTTGTTTCCCTCTTCCAGTTGCGTGCGTCCTGCGCTGACGCAGGACCCGACCGGACCGCCTGAACCCGCCCGGTCGCGACGCGCCACGGCGGAACGCGGGCTCCGACGGTTCGAACGAGTCGGGTTCGAAACGGCGACAGCGGCCACCGCGGCAAAAACGCGGCCGAACGCTCAGGAGGAGTTGGGCCGGGCAGGCGAACTGTCCAGGCTTCAAAGGTGCTTCTTTCGACGCTCGGCCGGGAGGGGGCGGGGAGGCGGGCACGAGGAGGGAGGAGTGATTGGAGAGATCCGATGGGTGAGGAGGGACCGCACAACTTGTTGACCATCCATGGGATTGGAATAGTTACAGCAGCCGTTATAGCCGTTATAGCAAGACACAGTTTAACGTTTTGTAATGGGTTGTACATATACAATTCTTTGTGTATACCCCTAACATAAGTAACTATTCCATATATGGATGGTTTTGGTAATGGACCTGTCTTATTTTTGGATGAAGGACCTTTGTTTGATGGACCTTGATTTTGCAAGGCAACAGCATTTAACATCGTTGAGCCAAACAACAAAGATGGAAATCGATGGGCTGAGCCTCCCAAATTGGTGTTCGGACCTTGTGGCATTTAAACTTAGCCACTTAGTCGGTTATCATTGGGCACCTGTTGTACATATGATTAAATGGTCTGAAGAAAACCCGATGGTCACTTGCTATGGGGTCACTCAGTCATGTCAAGACACGACCAAGCATTCACAACTCCCCCATGCAACAATGTGAAGTAGCCATGTCGCATGCAATGCATGCACAAGAATATACGTGTTCGTAGTGTTCTCCCTCGTTAAATAAACACCCCTTCAGTCTTGTGGTTGTCCTTGTCTCGATTTGTTATGAATCCGATGTTCCTTTATGTCCTTTTTATGTCCTTTCATGTTCGAAGATAATTGACAGATCTTTGTATTAGACAGGGGAAACACAGTGAGGCACGTTCTTCCAGTAACTGCATCCGAAGCATCGCTAGGTTCGCCACCCCCCCCCCCCCCCCACCCGACAACCGAACCATGACCGTGACAGGCGCAAGGGCGGCGTATCAGCCGAAAAAAAACAATCCCTTTCAGCTGGGCCGAAGGATGTAGAAGGTGCACGAATTCTACGGGATCTGGTATCTGTAGAAGGTTGCGAAAAGAAGATGCTTTCACCACTTCAAAACACGGGATCGGGAGCGGGTTTGTTTCACGCACCAAACATGGGAGTTTGCTGCCACGCGGTAAAATGACTTGGTGAGGACGTTTTGAAGAGACATGTTTCAGGGAGTAGATCGAGTAGATCCAGACACCGAGAGTTCTGGACTTGACAGACTTGCCGATCAGAAAAGGGGGTCTTGGAGTCGAGGAGTTCTGTTTTGCGTCGTCCCGAGGCAGGAAGAGATCGAGTCTTCGCGCGGAAGTCGCTCCAAGCCTTGTTAACATGTTATTATATAATTTACATAAACACCATATCACCATCGTTGCTAAGAACGTGAAACGGGACTTCCATATGAAGGGAGATCTCACGATCTGATGTGATCTGGTGATTTGACGGTGTCCTCAGAGTCTTGATCAATCGCCCGGAAGTATCAACCATGATCAACCCTGATTCTTTCTCATGGCTCTTTTTGAGACCCTTCACCCTTCCTCCGTTCTAAGAAGCGCCCTGACCTGCCCCTCGGCCCGAGGATGTTTGATGCCATCTCCCCGTGCGCCCAAGAGCGCGCCTTCCGCGCACGTGCCGCCGCGGGACGTGCTGAAGGGCGGACGAGGCGAATTGCCCGGCTTGCTGGGGAACGTCGAGGGAGCTAAGAAGCCCGTTTGACGAGGCAAAGATGAGGTGCACCTGATGCCAGAAGTGGAAGGCTAACTTCAGCCAAGTCAGGGTTGTATAGGGAACTGCTGGGCGGATAGATTCTGCGCGAAAAGAACGTTTTTAAGAACTATGTGGTGACTTTCAACGGCGAAGTGGGTGTAAACATGAAGGTTCTCAGGTTGCTTGGTGTGGACTTGCTGATAGCTCCAGTGTCAAAGGAGCTTCCCTACTACTTTTGCCGTCAGCATGGTTAGGCATAATTGTCATCATTAACTATCACACATATCAAAACTCAGAAAGAAACCTATAGCTGATGCAGAGTCATTTGCTCAGGCAATTCAAGGACTCACTTGTGGGGTTACAGTCTGAAACCCACGCTTCCTACGATCCGCAGACCACCTGTGTCGCGATCGATCCTGATTTTTGGACGTTGCAGATTTTGCAGCACAAGCCCTTGGAGAATCTGCATACGTCCGACTTATCCACTGGAGCCCTCTGGAGAATGAGATTTTAGGTGAAAACTTGCCGTCGGGGTCGAATGCTGGACCTAGTCCAAGAGGCAGCAGGTCAAATCCTTGAGGTGGTGATTTTTGTTCAAAAACACCTCACCATGTCAAACCATCAACTCTCTTCCATTGGCGCCTCTTGTTATTCCGCCTTGCCAACGAGTCTTGGCGAAGGCGCCTCTTGTTGTAGGTGATCAAGAACCATGAACACTTCCAGCCATATTTACTTTCACAAACATGTGTTCTTTTGCTGGGTGTCGCTAGGTAATCCTATAGGTGTAGTTGTTAAGAGCATAGATCCAGGAAAAAAAACAAAGGCTGTGAGGAAGAACATGCAATTCCTGTCCTGTTTGGTGCTTCCTTCAGGTTTTCGGCATGCAAAAGGGGGGGAGCAGTATCCACATAGTTATTCACCAAAAAACAACAGAAGATCGGAGAATGATCATCTTGACCCCTTTTGCCATTCCAAGGGGAGCTCCAGAATAGTTGTCCGCTTCTATTTTCCGACGGATGCTTCCGGAAGTTTCTCAAAGGTGTGCCTGGAGGCATCCTGCTACAGTCTTCGCACACAAACCATAGCGCCTTTGGACCCATCTGGGCGCCAGCTAAAGAGAGGGAACGACTGACTGCCATGTCCGAGTCTTGTAGTGGTGGTTTGTTTTGTTCAGCCTCTCATAGCGCAAGAGTCCGAGTCAAAGCGAACACACATCTAGCTTCCGGCTTTGCACTCCTTGGTGTATCCCAAGGAGTGCAGTTCCCATCACACAACCGACCTCCCAAAAGACATGAGTGACTGCCGATGAACACGCTTGGGATCTCAGGGGTCGCTGAAGTGACCCAAGGGTCCAAGGGTCATACCTGCTGCTGAGATGTGCAGACACTTGCGCAGAATTTGCTCCACTTGCCCGGTCAAAGAAGGGGCCTGGCCCGGTGCCGGTCTAAGGAGCCTGATCGAAGAAGGGGTGACGGACATGGACTGGAGATCCTGATGGACTGGATGGCCTCATCAAACGGCATCAAATGGATCCAGATGGACTGGATTACGGATTGCAAACGTACTATATCGGTGTTGACCGGTGACTTGTTGGTCGCGCGGTGCGGATGGATGAACTCAGAGTCCGTTTTGTGACTTTGGGACGGAGACTTGTTTGTTGGTGTCCTTGGTCACCAGCTGCTGGTGCAGTTGTTACGAATCTATTAGAAGATCGATGACTTCGGGTGAAGGCCCCTAGGACGAAGCCCCAACACACACTTCAATTCCAGAGCCCCCAACTCAGTGGTTTGGATTGGATAGGTTGCTTCCAAATCAGGGTGGCGCGGCAGGGTGGAGGTGGGCAACACTATATCAAAGTGGTTGTGAGTGAACGTGTGTTGTTCATTTCAAGCTTTGTTTGCAATTTCTTGCCCCGGGACTGCAAATCCAGAACCCCAACTCAGTGGTTTGGATTGGTTGCTTCCAAATCCGTGTTGGGTGTTTGGATGTTTTCCTTTTGGAGCTAATGATAACGATGTTTGGATGTTTGAGGATTTGCATTTTACAAGTTTTGCTGGTCAAGCCCTGATTTTTTCGTCAGATATCGGATTTGAAGGATTACGGATTACCACGGAGTGCGAATTGTTCGGATGAGTGTGCCTACAGTGTAGGCGCGCTCATTTTGATTAGCCCAAGCAATAAAGATTGATCGATTATTATATATATATATATATATATTTATTTTTTTTGGTTTCTTAACATTGAGATCCTCCATGAAACCACTCATGCAAGAGATTCAAGGTGAATGGATCTCTGGAATTTACAGAGACATGATCTCTCGATCTCTCAAGTATGCAGCTGGGTGCAGATCTCCCCATACTGGGCAACGTGTGCAGCTGGTTTCTGCAAAGCAGACCATGGTCGGCAAGGACCGCACGAGACTCAGCGCAGGCGCACCGTGGACCGTGAAAGGCGCACCGTGAGGGATGACTGGATCATCGGAAACATCCGGTTCATCAGTAGGATGAGCTCTTCAGATGTCATTGGTCCGGTTCCAAATGGCTGGTGATCAGAGGCCTTTAGTTAATTCCCGAAGAATATGTGTTTATATAATATATGTTTTTCCACCTGAAGAATGCACGAATGTTTGCAGGCAATCAGTATCAGCTTCAAGCAGTAAATTGGAGACCGGCTTTTGGGATTCTGATTGAATAGCAGGTTTCCCACAAGACCGTGCCATCCAAGTGCCATGGTACCCACTGCTTTCATGGTTTCTTCGCAGCAAGTGGACACCCCACCAATCAGTGGGGTGCCTGCCCGAGGAGGTGGTGACAGTCCCGCTTGAGCGGCACCAAACGCAGTCGAAAACACCAACCCAGATCCAGTCGACTGCAGCTGCATGGCCGCTGCATGGCCCGTTTGTGAGTAGGTGGGGAATCAAGTGACAGACTGTGAATGAAATCCACGTTAGGCTGCTGGAGAACTCATCTTGATGTTCAATCAGGCTGGTACAATAACAGATTGGTCAAGTTGGAAAGGAGATGAAAGGAGAACGGATGCATCTCGATCTTCATCACCCGGGCGAACTCTTGAAAAGGCCCCCCGTTCTAGCTCCTGTCGGAGCGGAAGGACGCTACGAACGGGGCTCTTGGCCTTACTACTAGGAACAAGGAGCTATTATATAGAAACAAGAACTCAATAGAATTAGAATTATAACTAATCATGGGAAGATCCGAAACCCACGTCCTCTCGGCGCGGTCGGCGCGTGCTTTCTCCACGACTCTCTCCCCGAAGAAAGCGGAAGATGCAACGCTGCGGGTCCGCCCGGTCGAGCCATCGAGCTGGGGTTCGTAACGAAAAGCACCCGGTCGACCGAAAACGAAGTCTCCGAAATGGCGTTTGCCTCAAACGTCGTGACCGGTGGTGACCCCCTCCCTGGTTGAGGACTTGGCAACTTGTTTTGAAGAACCAAGCAGTTGATCCTTCATGGTTTCGAAGCACCAGTGTTAGAAAGAACGAGCCAAGCAAGCCAACAGAGCAACTGGACATTCGTATACGCAATTGAGATGCTTCAAACCTATCCCAGACACTCCATGGGACTGCCATATATATATATATGCCTACATTGACCCCTCTGGCACCACCCCAACTGATCGGCATATCTACATGGAGTGTCTGGGTATGTCGAGCATGACTTGGCCGCCATTCCCACGGCCCGGCGTCGGAGACCGAGGCCGGCCGACGCGACGCGCCCATGTGTCGCCGGCCATTTGGCGGCTCGAACAGCGTAGGAGAACACAAAGACCACGAGAAAAACAACAAAAGTGGGCACCAGTGACGAGTGACTGGCTTCTGGTGCACCAGTTGTGGCAGCTAACAATGGTCTGAAATGGTTCAGGTCATTGACATCCAGGCTGGCAAGGTCAGTGAACCCACTTCGGATGAGGTCATGTCCATGTCCATGTTGAACTTTCATGAAGCTATATTACTGTACTTGGTATTTGGATGTATTTGGATGTATAAACACGCGATCTCAGTCTCGCAAAACCTAGAATGGGTTGCCCTCATTGGCCCTCATGCCTGGTGGCCCTCTAAAGAAGAGAGCCTTTCACCAGAACTGGAAGACTCCAACCCACCAAGCGCCACTCCAACCGCATCTCACGGACCCTTCTGGTCCGGAGAGACGGATCGAGGCCGAGAAGAAACAAACGGGAAAGCAGGGGTGGCGCTTATGGGGGGGGACGGGAGTGTAGGAGAGTGGTCCTCAAGCAGGTCGAATTCGTGATAGGTTGGATTTTTGGACGACATGTACGATATAATTCGTTGATGTTTGTCGCTTGTGTGATCTATTTGGGGCTTTGGACTCACATCCCCGTTTGAATTTCCTCTGAATCTGAACCACTGGAGGCAGTATAAACCGTGCTTTTTGAATACAGGTATGTGGGTGCAGAATGGTAGACAAGGACAGGGGTTGAGATTCTATAAGATCTAAATGGTGAGTGGGGGTGTGTGGATTTTGAATTGAGAGTAGCAACTCTGCAGAGATGACATGCAGAATGAAATTGTGCGCCCTGGAGGTTCTGAAGGCATTCCAGGCGTTTGAGTTATATTTGAAGAGACTGGGCCTCGATTTGAAAGGGCGCTTGCATTTTTTTATTGTAATTTGAGAGATTATGTGAGAAAGGATGACATGTTTCGCTGAAAGAAGATTATGTCTCAAATAAGAAGGACGTACATAAGATTGATGAATCATGATATATACCATAATTGAGAGAGACAGAGGGAGAAACAACATAGAATCAAGGACCATAGAATCAAGGACTGTTTGAACAGATGCCATGCAGGGTTCAAGAAGGTGTTTTCTTGGCATATCTTGCTTTCAGAGGTGTCCTCATTCTATAGTGAACACACTTAGAAAAAAGAAACTCTTCTTTGCAAACCTGATGCGCTCATAAGGCAGTCAGAGTGCTACATTTCATAGTGAATTCATGGCCTGGGTGTTTTGCGTTTATAGTCTCAAAGTCTTCTCCATACCTGCAGGCTTTGATTTAATAGACCATGACCACTATAGAAAAACCAGCGCTCTGAGCAAGTACCTCAATGACCCAAGGAGGTTGAAGCCAAGACCGTGTGACGCGGGTGGAACGGGGGGAACTTGCAGGGTCGGAGCCTCCACTCCACTTGGATGACGAAAGGGTTGTAGTACCAGTCCTGGCATCGAACTGCAGCGTGCGTTTTCTGGAGGTTCTGCCAGATCATACCGGTGTTCTGAGTGGTTTTTTGTTGCTCCTGAAACTCAGACTCCAATGTTAAAAGGTATATACTCTGTGATGATACAGATGATTACTATATATAGATACGCACTGATAACGTAAACATCCCGGGCTTTATTGTGGACTTGCTTGCATTTATCCTGGTACGTAGCAGCCGGTGACAAGATGTGAGCATTATCCTTCCAATCTGGGTGAAACGTCGGTGTCCAATTCGAGCGTCGGTTTCCCACGGCGTTTCCATGCGTTGCATTTGCTGGTATTTGCTCCATGGCTTGATGTTTCAATGGGTTCTTCATCTTAGATCATCTCCCCAGGGTGGCCATGCCCTTCTCCCTGGGCCCGGAGCCTCAGCCGCTGGGTCTGGAGAGGGTGAACACAAAAAGGTAAGGCTTGACTTGACCAAGTGTCCGAGCCTGGAAAAGAGGAATCTTCCAGGAGTCACGTTCGACGGGGTGCCGAACGAACGGAGCTAGTCGGGGTGCCCTGTCACCTCCACTCACTGGATGGGACGAACCAAACCAGCCCCGTCTTGTGATCCCTGGTTGTTGAAGTCTAGCAGTGGCTAGCTCTTGCTTTGCAGTGGCTAGCTTTCATTCACTTTCCTGGCCTCATGGCCTCAGCTTTAAGAACGACCCATGAAAACCGGACGTCTTTGAACTTACAGCACGACCCTTCAGATCGGATGATCGTCAGTCACAGCACCAACTGTTCTTCCGGTCTGAAAGTCTTCACGGCCAAAGATACTCCCGGTCTCATGGATAGACGCGACCCATGGGACTGAGTGACATATGCCGCCCCAGACAGACCCCCCGAGTGCACCACCCAGTCCAGGCAGTCCCATGGAGCGACACCCTTCGGATGGACCCGGTCCCACTCCAACGAAGACATTGGGAAGTGAAAGACCTGGAACCCAGGAGTCGGGCCCGTTCGGGGTGTCTATTTATAGCCCTTGAGCTGTGATTCGGGGTGTCCACAGGTGTCCATTAACCACCCCGACTGGCGGTTCTGGTTTGTGAAGCAAACAGTTATCTTCCATTCAACAAACATGGAAGTGGAACATGGCTCCTTGGAAGATGGTTTTCCTCTAGCACGCCATGTTCATCCATATTCATCCACTTCCATGTGATGTGTTCGTCAAAATGGTGCATCTTGGTGCAAGAAGATGCAGTCGTGTGTTGGATGTCCCAACATTTGATATATCAACAGAGCCCTTTCATAAGAGATGCTTATATATGGATAAATGACCTCATAACTAAGCACAGAACCAATCCGTTTTCACCGCAGCATCGGGCTCTTGAAGGGTGTTCGATGGGAGAGACCAAACCCGGGTCTCTCCCAGTGTGTGACCGGTGCCTTCACTTTAAGGTCAGAACAGCTGGCCTGACGACCTGCGATCCTTGCCGGAAGCTTTGGCAACTGCAGGTATCGCTGAGAGGAGTGTTGGCACCGGACCGTGACGAGCAGGCGGTAATCTATCTCCAAGAGTGTTTCACGCTTTTGGAGGAGTGGATCACCAAGGTCAAGGAGCTAGAGTCCTTGGAGACCGCCGGAAGCCATCGTCCTCGAGGAGCCCGTGAACGAAGCCCGTTGAAACGTAGAGAGGAAGCAAGCGAGAGTCGCCCCGCTCCAGCCCCTAGCAAGCCAGAGACTGCTCAGCCCAAAACACCACCAATACAGCCCCCGTCCCGTCCAGACAGTGCATTGAGTGTTGAAGGGAGGGATCACGCCAAGTTGACCTCCCAGAGTCGTGTCGTGCCCCGACCAAGCCAGCCGCCCAGTGGAGGACGCCGTGGCCGATCCCCCAGCCAAGGCCTATACGCCAAGAAGAAGGCAGAGCCGAAGAAAGAGGCCGAGCCAGCCCCTTCAGCAGAAGTGGACAAGCCATCAGGGGAGTTGAGACAAGCTCCCAAAGCAGAAGAAGTGGAAAAGGAGAAGAAAAAGCGAACGTCATCGACTAGCTCATCAAGGAGGAGGCGGAGGAAAGAGAAGAGGCGGAGAGAGAAGGAGAAGCGTGACAAGAAGCGTCGACGGAGATCTAGCAGCCCGGGGAGTTCTATCTCGGGGTCACGCGTGAGAGCCGCAAAACGGAAGGACCTCAAGCGGCTTCCAACGCCACCACGGGCGCGCAGTCCCCATACACCTCCAGGCCCTCCTCCTGAACCTCCACCTGCACCAGCCCGGGACGCCAGTCCACCCCCGATTGCCAGGGGGAGAGGGCGCGGGTGGATAGGGCCCGTTCCGTGGAGCTCGCACCCCCGGTGGTACACCGGGAAGAATAAAGGCATCACCCGTCGAGCCAAGCAAGAGAAGTTCAACAATAGGTGGTGGTGATGCCTGCACTTCGTCGTCCTGCCGCGAAGGTGGAGTCCAGACGGAAAAGGCCTGCAGCGAAAGCAGATGAAGAGACAGAGACAACGAAATTCACCTATCTCCTGGAGGTCACTGCCGCTCAGTTGAGATGCCTGGGGCTGGTGGAGCTGGCCTATGGGTACTACTACGATGGACTCGTGAAGGTGGCCGGGTACATTACAGGCTTGGGCCGTGATGCCGACTACCTGGAGTTCAGAGTGACCGGGACGCAGACAGAGAGACTGGTGGAGGCCTTGAGCGACCCGTTGAAGAGGGTCATGCAGTTGCATATTTGCCCCAAGGACTGCAACCATGCGGCAACTGGGCCTGACGTTCTTCATGCTGCAGGTTTCTGGGAGGTAGGCGACAAGAAGCTGCCGTGGCATACGTTGTTTGAGGCAGTGCACGCTCCCCCGGAGGAGAGAGATGAGCTGGCCAAGTTGAGAGAGCATTATGCGGCCCGAAAGCAGGTCATGGCAGGGGAGAAGGAGTCTCCCAGTAGTGAGGAGGAGAAGAGAAAGAAGAAGAAAAAGAAGAAGAAGGCGAAAGACGCCGAGAAGAAGGCAGAGATGGCAAAGACGGCAAAAGAGGGCACCGAAGATGAGGCTGGTTTCGACAAGGGTCAAAAGCCGCTGAAGAGTCTGTTTGGGGGCACGTGCTTGGACCCTAGGGTGGAGGAGCGCTCCAAGCTTTTGAAGAAGGCCCGAAGGTTGGGAAAGCGAGACAGCCAGAAGCGCAAGCATGCGTCCAGTGATGACTCTTCGTCCGGAAGCTCAACAACAGAGGAGGAGGAGCTGACTGAGACCGGCGAGGGCCTGTTCGCTGAGAAGAAGAGGGCCTTGCGCTTGACCCAGCGTTATCCTGGCTGTCTGGGCGCGCAGACGATCGCTGGCATGAAGGAGTCACTGATGACTAGCAGTGGCACGCTGCATTCAGTGGATCGGAAATCCCTACCTCCACTGTACACGCAGTACTACAGGAGCGAGCTGCACTCCATGGTGTCTCCGTCGATGGGACAGGAGCTTCTGACCATCAGCCAGACGGCGGATTTGCTTCTGCGAGGACACCCAGCCAGAGCAGTTGACTTGCTGTCCCAACGGTTCAAAGCTCTAGAACAACAGGCTAGAGGTGCGCATTGGACAGTAGCACGCCAACTGGAACTGGTGTCAGCAGATTCAGTAGGCCTCAGTCAAGGTGCAGAAGGTGCAGAAGCAGCTCGCCTGGCCCGAGAAGAAGCTCGGAATAGGAGCGCAGTTCAACGACCTTACCATGCAGGAGGAAAAGAGGGGGGAAAGTCGAAGAGCAGACCTGATCTACCTGAGGGACGTGAGAAGGGTGACCGTGGAGGCAAAGGGAAAGGAAAGGGGAAGAAGAAGGATAAGCAATGATGATGTCTTCACAGGTTGAAGGAGTCCCCAGGTGGAATCAGGATCAGGTTGAAGAGAGCAGCAAAAAAGAAGAGGCCGTGCATACATTGGTCGGGCAGGACATTGGGACAGAGGCTGAGAGGGCTTGTGTTGAGAGGCTGTTGCAGGAGTGTGAGAGAAGAGGGTTGGAGCAGAGGAGCAAACGGGCTAAGAGAAGTGCATGTGAAGTTGGCGCTGGAAGCACGTCGCATCCGGTGCTGCCAGACAAGACGTGCCCCCCCGCCGGGTCGGGTTTAGAGGCCGAGATGGCCCCGCTGGATCAGGTTGGAGGGGAGTCAATTTCTCCAGACAGGCTGCTGACAGACTCCCAGAGCTACTATCGAGTTGCAAGGCCCTGGAAGTCATCTATGTCGGAGGAGCCAACATTGGTTGTAGGGGAGAGTGCGGAGGATTCCCTCTCCCAGGCTTGTGGTGGCAGCTCACGTCGAGCAAACTGCCACGAGATGTTGATGGGCAACGAGGAGCCAAGTGCGCGACTGGCTTTTGAACCGTGCCGCATTGAGCTTGAGCAATGTTGCCAAAAAGAAGGAGTTGTTTTTGCTGAGCTGGGGGGGAGTGTTGTCCCGTGCATTGGCAGTGGTAGAGACCAGGTTAGCGCGTTGCAGCCAGCCCAAGGGGGATTTATTCCCCTTGCCACTGGCTAGTGCCTTGGGACTTCCAGGTAAATCCACACCCAGCACAGATGCATTGATTCGAGCATTGAACTTGCTTTATGGGACTAGGACCAAAGACAGGACCAAAGAGGACAACACCAGACGGAAGCTGACCGAACGGTTGAACAGTGTGGTTTCGAATTCGCCTTTGTTGGATCAGAACCTGCCCCATCTAGATTTTCAACGCGCGCCTGTTCCAAGCAAAGACGGTGGACTATTCGGGCGAAGAGGTACAGGTGGCTAAGTCCTTTCAGTGGAAAATGGTGGAGGCAGCAATGCCAGATGCGGTAGGTTCTCTAGAGTTGGAGGCCTTTTGTGGTGAAGGGACCTTGCAGTATGTTAAGGAGTTCGAGGGCTTCTTGATGCCTGCCCAGGATCAACACCTTGGACGGACGCCTTCAATCATGGTGGAGCAGCGCCACTGGCCGGAGGTCTGCCGGGGATTGTTGAGGAAGGGGGTGTGTAGGCTGATGCACGTTTCTAGCTTGCATCATGTGGGTGACCGCCCTTTACTGAACGGACTGTTCGCTGTAAGCAAGAACGAAAGTTCGGTTGATGAGCAGGGCAATTCCTTTGAGGTCTGCCGCCTCATTATGAACCTCGTCCCGACTAATAGCTGTTGTCGAAGTCTGGTGGGGGACACATCCACACTCCCTAGTGTTGTTGGTATGGCCTCTGTAATTCTGGAAGATAATCAGCTGCTCATAACATCGTCGGAAGATATACGTTGCTTTTTCTACTTGTTCCGGACCCCTCCGTCGTGGTGGAAGTACATGGGCTTTGCACGGGAGGTGCCACCTGAGGCCCTCCCAGAAGGCTATGTTGGAGGTGGTTGGCATCTAGTGACGCAGGTCTTGCCGATGGGGTTCGTTAACTCCGTGGCTATCGCCCAGCATGTGCACAGGCGG